CAGATAAGCTTCTCATGCTCTCCTCTTGGTGACGTGCTAAGCAAAAAGTCTAACCGGTCTTGGACTGTCTTGGGCTTGGTGGAATCAAAATGAGGTTGGGCTCCTCAACTGGGGTTGGACTTTAACACATAAATTGGACTATTTTGGCTTAACCCATCAATATGTATACTCTTTATTGGCGGTGCATGTGGGACGAGAGAATTAGTTGGATGCCCTAAGCTGTTCGAACATGAATTAAATTAACAGACCTCCAAAAAAAAAAAAGTATTGCATCTTGACGGTGCATAAAATAATTGGGAGGTCGCAAGCTCATCTTTTTGACCATCTATCTAATATTATTATTAGGAGAAATTGAATGCTCAATTTATAAAAATATAATAACAATTAATTTTTATTTATTTTGTAACAATAGTATAAAATTGCGACTGAAGTTTTTTTTTTTCACACAAAAATATTATCTTCTTTAGATGACCTCCAATATTAAACAATTCAACTAACACTCCTTTTACTGTAAAATAACCCCACTAATCTACACTTATTTCTCTATTATTTTTTTTCTTTGTTTACTTTAATTTTAAATTATTATTTAAAATATAAATGTTGTGCAATCAATAATAAATTTATGGTATTGACAATGTTATTTGAACTTAATTTATTGACTTAATTACTATAATATTTAGATTGATTGTGGGCCTCATTAAATATTAAAATTTGATATTTATTTCATTGTTACAATAAAATTACATTAAATCAATAAATTAAATAAAATTTTTAAATGAATTAAAATATACAAGAATGCCCTCATCATAAACGCACATGCATTCATGCTCACATCCCCCCAATGATCACAGTACACACAAAAGCAAGTATTAATTAATTTTCAAGTTGGCCTAATCACCGATCAAACAAAAAATTTATACAAAATTAATTAGTGTTTGTTTACCATTAGCGGATACGAATCGAAACATTAGACTCGTCTAATGAATAAATTGATACAAAGTGAATTAAATATAAACACAATTTATATATAATATGAATAAAATATAATGCAACCGTAACTATGCTATAAAAAATAAAGCAAATAAGATCATCCAATTAGTATGGTGAAATGGTCGAAAACAACTGATCATCAGGATAGCACAAAGATTAGAGTTTAAATGATTAAGATATCAAGATCCTAATTTTTAATCTCGCGGGAGACGCCGGAATTGACCGGTTTTTACTACTAACCTTCTGTGGGGCTTCGGAGGCTCCATGAACCGGCCTCTCTTTAACTTTCGCATAAATCTTCACCGTCTATGTTTCTTCACCGTCTATGTTTGACCAAAAAGTAAGGACGTACTTAGTAGGATATGCAAACCACTTTTATGAGCCCACCCATCAAAATACCAAATATGGTGATTGATCCAACCATGCACTCACACACCCATACTCATGGTCATGGATGCATTTTCTCGTGCAAATACAATCTGATGCACCATTGCAATACTGATGACATGCTCAAATGTAATGTATGTCAAATGAGCTATTTAACCAATCTCAACACACAACATGACAATTAATATCAATTGCATATAATCACTACCAATCAACATAAGATTAGCATATTAACAACATATATTTACTCATGTTTTCTCAACAAAACTCATGGCATGTTATACAACTCATACCATAACAATTAAATTCCACATAGGCATTTAGCTAGACACCTCCCAAGCAAATAATTCATGTTATCACATAAATTAATCCAAGTCATTCACAAGGTACAATGACAACATTTATCAAATTACCACAATTTCACAAGTGAATCCCCTATACCAAAAGTAACTAGGAACTTGCCTAGGCCAATTCCATATCCCTTTGTCCACATATCCATAACCCTAGTTAAGAACCTAGGTCAATGTATTCCCCTTGCCCATTTCATATGACATCTAGGTAAGAAAATAAACCAAGGTAGGAGAAACCCTACCTCTTGGAGCGTGAGATGAAGATAGAAAGCTTCTAGGCACCTCCTTAGCCCCAAAACCTTTGATTTCCCCAAAGTCACCTCTTGGATTTTCGGTAAAATCCCTCGTTCTTGGTATGTATGCGTAGCCCTCGTCGTGTAGACCAACTTTAATTCTTGGATCAAGCAATTCCGACCGACGGAATTTCTTGAATCGAAGAAGAAAGCCTTGAAGAAATAATTTCTCTCCTCTCTCCCTTCAACGTCTGATACAGCCGGCCAAGTGGGTGAGAAATATCTGATTTTTCAGATATTTAGCTCCTATTTATACTTTTAATTGCACGGTCCATATTGTCTCACTCGTTTATCACTTTTGGGTCCGTTTTTGACCCAAATGACTTAATTAAATTCTAATTTTAGTTCAAATCAATTTTATTTGAAATTTTATTCAATTATAAGAAAATTTTATAATTTCCGTTTTTGGGGACCTTTAAAAGTTCATTTGTCACCCAATCGTTTTGAAAAACATGTAGAATCCGACTATCTCAGAATTCGACGAAATTTGACGTGGTAACTCAATTTCGCGATATGAATCTAATGGTGAAGTTCATTGCTTCATCCGAGCTCTATAGAAATATGCATTTTAATCCCGCAAAATAGTGACAAATTACTATTTTGCCCTTTGTCGGAAAAAGTTCAAATTTCTTCGGGTTTCACACTCTAGCCCACAGAGAATCCTCTTTCATCAATCTCCTCCTACTATCCAATTTGTTTGACCAAATAAAACTAGCCATCATTGAATTCATACGAGCCAAAATATTCTTAGGCAAATTCACACAAGCTAAAAGATGAATAGGAATAGAGCTCAATACTGTTTGTACCAAAAGAACTCTACCCATATTAAAAAGCAATTTAGAGTACCAACCCTCCATCCGTTGTCAAAATTTCACTAAAACCTCCTCAAGATACCTGATCCTAGTCCTCCCACTAAAGATAGGACAACCCAGGTAAGTAAATGGCATTTTTTGATAGGAATCCCAACCATCTCAGACAGTACTAGCCTCTTAGAGCTCCCAATATGTTTTGAACAAACATTGAGCTCTTAGGTAGACTTACCTTCTGGCCTGAACACATCTCATATTCCTTCAAAAAATTCAGCAAGTGCTCCAGAGATTTTTTCAGCCCCCTTAAAAAAAATAGAGTGTCATCTGCAAAGAGCAAATGACTTACTAAAGATGAGCCTCTTCCCAGATGAAAACCTTTCACTAGACCCTCCTGATAAATTCTGCATAGACCCCTACTCAAGACCTCTTTAGCCAACACAAATAAGAAAGGGGAGACGGGAACCCCTTGCCTTAACCCCCCCTAGAAGCAGGAAAAAAACCCCTTCTCAAAGCATTCACACACAGAGAAATGTTTTGATTTCCCAAACAATTCCCAATGATCTTAACAAAGAGCTCATAAAATCCAAAACAAGAAAGCACTTTCAACAAAAAAAGCCCACTCTATCTTGTCATACGCCTTCATCATGTCAAGCTTTAAAATCATGTTCTCACCCTCCACCTTCCTATCCAAGTCATTCACCATTAACTCAGTCAAGGAAATACATTCCCCAATACCTCTACCCTTGAAAAAAACATGATGCTCCTCAGACACCAACACAACCAGCAAAGGAGCTAATCTAGAGGTCAACAACTTAGTAAAAATCTTGTAAAGAAAATTACATAAGTTGATAGGCCTAAAGTCAGCAAAAGAAATTGGATTAAGCTTCTTAGGAATTATCACCAACAAAGTAGCATTTAAAGACCTTGGAATTATGTCACCTTTAAGAAAAAAATTAACTGCCTTTAACACATCACGCTTAATGATATCCTAGGTTGCCTGGAAAAATTTTCTAGACCACCTATCCACCCCAGGAGCACTGTGAATTGACATAGAAAAAACAACAGATTGCTTCCCTACGAATCTCAGCATTTAACTCATACGTCACAATTCTAGGAATAACTTCAAATAAATGCTCCTGCATCTCATGTCCTTCAATTTTATCTAAGGTAGCACAAAAGTCCTCAGCACACTTCTCAATCTCCTCCTCATTATCAATCCACACACCCTCTCCATTATGAATTCTTTGAATTCTATTTCTAACTGCCTTTCCCTTAGCTAAGACATGATATAATTTAGTATTTTTTTTGCCCTCCACAGCCCATTTCACATTCACCTTTTGCTTCCAATACACCACCTCAAGCCTCAAGACATCATCAAGATCTTTTTTATGAGAATCAAGGGCTTGTTGGTTAACCAATGAATCCTCTATTTCACTAAGGATCTCAGCAACCCTCATCTTTACCTCAAGAACTTTAATACGATCAAAAATATTACCAAACTCCTATTTGTTCCACTTATAAACTTGTCTTTTTCATCTAAGTGATTGTTATGTTTTTGTTATTACATTAATAATTATCTCTATTTAATTTTTCCATCGCCTATATCAACAGTTTTTTCAAAAAAAATTGGATGTATCAAAGGTTGAAGATGGATATGATGTTGTTCTTGTTTTTTTTTTTTATGTTACATGGTATCCAAACTTGCGCCACTTGAGTTTTCTAATTAGTTATTGCGGCTTGAGTTGAGTTAGAATATAAAGGGATAAGGGTGGCTAGCCCTTAGGGAGTGTGAGAAAGGAGTTGGACCTTTAGCGGTAAGAACCACAACAAATGGAAACTATCATTTTTGTTTGACTATTCTATTTGGATGTTGGGATAATTACTTTCTTAAAGTTTTTCTTTAGTGCACATGAAACTCATCTATCTTAGTATGGTTTTCTTCACTGTATTAAATAAATAAATCTATTTGACATTGTTTATTTATGAGCTTGATCAAAATTTCTAGAGTTTGGTTTGGCGCTATCATTTTGGTTCACTGTACTAATGAAATTTTTTTACCTCCTGATGTAGTGTTTGCCTATAACTATTGACGTGGGGACAAACAATGAGCAGTTGTTGAAGGATGACAGTTTTTCCTACCCCAGGAATATTATGACTTTTTACATGAATTCATGACTGTTGTTCAGCAAAACTATGGTGAAAAAGTTCTAGTACAGGTAAGTGAAATATCGCTCTAATGTGTTAGACTTCACCCAAGATTTAGGCTTTCTGGATTTTAGAATTATTTAAGCATTTCTAACATTGGTAAAAAAAAATTTATGAACTCTCTTAGTTTGAAGATTTTGCAAATTACAAAGCTTTTGAGCTACTAGCGAAATATTGCACTACTCATCTGGTCTTCAATGATGATATACATGTGTTACGTCGTGGTTGATATTGTCACTGGAAGGTATTCTGTGTTCTTGTCTAATTTGTTGTTTCCATTTTTCAGGGTACAACAGCTGTGGATCTTGTAGGGCTTGTTGCAGCACTAAATTTACTTGGTGGTACTTTGGTTGACCACATATTCTTATTCCTTGGTGTTGGGCTAGTGAGATTCTACTCCTCCTCCTATTTCTAAATATTAACATCCTAGGCAGATAAGTAAAAATAACTAGGTAGAGTGTGGTATAGTACAGAAGTAAAGTAATGATGGCACCAAAAACTTATAGAGGAAATATTAGTGACTTTCCAAAATATTTTATTTATTTGTGCTCCAAAATCTGGTTTGCTTTGAGGATTTTCTATTTGACACCGATATTCCTTAGATCGTGGGTTGATTACTTGATTTGGTATGGGTATAGGGTATGATATTTTCTCTAATACGTGGCATGATGAAGATAGACTTTATTTGTACACTTGTTTTGGGTCACCATTTGCTTGGGAACTATTATTCGGATTGTTTTCACTCTTGTATTTGCATAACTATACTTCCATACACATGGCCAATCATTACTTTGATACTTACGATAAGAGTTTCAAGCTTGAAGACCAAGAAACGGAAGCGCCATTGAGGCCACATGAATAGGGTATAGCTTTGAACTACAACGCAAAACAACCTACCAACCAAATGAATAGGGTATTGCTTTAAACCGCAACGCAAAACAACCTACCAACCAAGGGTTGTGAATAACAAAAGTCAATAGTTCCATATTAGTACAAAAACATTCAAATCACAAAAGTATATTTAAAGTAAATAGTTCTACATTTGTATTACAAAAACATTCAAATCAAAACCAATCAAAATATACTTTTGAAGATGACCAAAATTACAAAATAAAGTACCACATGGAGTTACAATTCAGGGTTAGTGTTATAATTTATGGATCGGTTGGCATTAGGGTAACAATTTATGGATGGGCATTCGGGGGATCTTAGTCATGAACACACTCCATTTGGGGTTGTGTGCCCTACCCACGACCCCTCTATCCCTGTTTGAGAATTATTTGAGGTATTCTTTCACCATTAGTCTATGGAGCAAATTGGTTATATGTCAAAAACTACTAGAAAGACTGAATTGATGGGGAAAAAAACCAATGTGACCAAGCATACACCTTGATGTTGGCTGATTAACCCTAATTAATGTATAATTTAATTAAGTTAATAGGTCAATTGTGTTAGTTAAACAAACTTAAACTAGTCAAAATAAGTCAAATTAGGGTTAGTGTGTGAATTAGGGATAATGCATTAATTGTTGTTTTTTTCAGGATTTTGTGCGTCAAAGCTACAAACTACTGGGGAGCCAATTGTGTCAAAGCTACAAACTACTGGGGAACCCAATTGTGTCAAAGTTACAAACTATAGGGTGTCAATTTTCAAAACTACAAACTATTGGATACAAATTATCAAAGCTCAATACAAAGGGGGATCAAAGTGTAATTCAAAACAGTCAAACAAGACTTTCATCCTCCCTTGTTACCTATAAATACCACCCCTTAGGACTTGAAAAACATTCATCTTTTGGTAATAAAAAACCTCCAAAAGTATTATTGCTTTCTTTAAGTATTACTTTCTTTTATTGTATTATTACTTTCTTTTAATTTATTGCTTCTTTTAATTTAAGTATTGTTTTCTTTTATTGTATTATTGCTTTCTTTTACTTCCATTGTTTGAGCTTCCTTCTTCCCTTAGAGAAGTGAAACTCTTCCACTTTTCTAGAGCTTACCAAAGCCGTGAAGGGTGGAACGTGATTCACTCATTCTTTGTCGAAGATAGGTCATTGTGTAATATGTTTTACCTTGTAATTCCTCTAGCTGGAGGGATGAGCATCACTCACTTTTCTAACTTTACCAAAGCCATGAAGAGTGAGTAATTTCTCATTCACTCTTTAGAAAGAGGTGATGGACACGTATAAATCATCCAAAAGTTATATTTGTGCATTTCGTGGGTATTAAATGTTTTAAAGTGGGTATTAAATGTTTTCTCTCTTAGTTTATGTTTCTTTGCATTAGCTTAGCTCCAATTTTCATTTCTTCATAATGTATTCTCATTACATTGTTGTCTTTACATTAAGCATGAGTAGCTAAGCCTTTAAGTTGGCTAATCCAAGGGAGACCTCCTCTTGGGTATGCCATTTCAACTCATTTTTCTTCCTCCTCTCAGAGTACGATGGTTCAGTTTGACTAGGTAGAGGGTGGACGGGATTGTGAGTCTTTGATATCCTGTACGGGTTATACTTGGATCCTCAGTTCCATCTCATCCCTAACTTCCCACGAATCAATCGTACATCTATGCTCTATTGGGGGAAGGATTCGAGTTGACTTGGTATTCCCATTAGAGTGAACCCTTTGGATTAACCAACATTTGTTCTATTTCATTTTCATTACAATCACAAACCAACCTTCAACCAACAAAAGATTTTTCGCTTTATTTTTACAAAAATCACCTTCATGATGATACACCTCCTTCCCCGAGGAGACGACCTTCAAATACAATTCCAAGTAAAACACGATAAGCAAAAGTCTCTATGCACTTGGGGAGCATTTTTGTTCACACACACACATTTCATACATTTCATTCACCCACCATTCCGTTGCCCTTTCTTTTGACATCATTCCAAGGGGGAGTGACACTCCCCTTCACACATAGATTATACACATTGAAGGATGATGTTCGGAGGTTAGGATATACTACAATGGAAACAACCAAGCATTGGTCTTACCACATCTTCAACTAAACCTCTTGTAATTTCTTGATGGACATGTTCAATTTTCCTGGTTTTTTCTATCGCCTTCCAAGCCCTTAAATTGGTGACATATGGTATCTAACTGTCAAAATAAGATCACAATTGATTTGTCTCACGATTGTCATCTTGTAATTGTAGGTTGGGACTGGTATAGTAGAGCTTATAGCTCTTGAGATGTCAAAACAGGTGTTGGCTTAGCACCATATACACACTTATGGTTATGTTATTATAGCATATTTTCCCTGTGTTTGGCTTTGGCTTGGTCATCTCTGATGCGATTCGGGTCCATGATGAAATGCTTCTTGTAGCGTGTAAGTATATAATGAAGAATAGTGTTGAATTTACTATTGCATACTGATATTGTCTACAAATTTAGGTGCTCCGATTCAAGTGAATGACAAAAATAGAATACTTGACATCTTTGCCCTTGATGAATTCGGGACCCTGTTACACTACAACTCGTCCCAAAACGCCTCAATTCGACATTTTATTTTGACCAAAATTCTTAAAATTATTTTAAATGAATGTTTTCAAAAATATAGATTTTCGCTAGTGGCTGGGTTTGGCCGGTCCCACCTAGGCCTCCCGAGATACCTTTTTTGTCTAATTTTTACAACTATTTTCGTTTAGGCTCAAATTTGCATAGTAGGTGTATTTTAACATTATAAGCATGTTTATCTTCTAAACATGACTTATGATTCATATGTAATACCCTACCGGCAAATGGTGCATAAATAGTGCCCTACCGGTAAAACTAAAAAATTTATCCTCACTTTTTTCAGATCTCTACACTCTAGACATGTAAACTATTGTGTGATGAAAAATGAAAATGTTACGATATGTCTTTCAGATTACAATGACTTTAAAGGCAACACAATGTTAGGTTGTCATTGCAGTAAAGCAAACAACAGAATTCTCTCGATATTAATTTTCTAGATGTCTCCATTGAAAGAGTGGAAGCTTTGGTTGGTCAAGTAACGAAGGAGCATTTAGCTAAGGGCATGATTTACCCTCCATTCACTAATATCAGAAAGATCTCTGCTCACATTGCTGCTAAGGTAGCTACTAAAGCATTTGAACTTGGTGAGTACATTTTCTTTTCCCTATTTTTGTTCAAAGTTACTTGCCAAGACATGAATTTATGTTTGCCACATTACATAAATGCTTTGTAGGTGTGGCGACACATCTCCCTCGACCTGAGAATTTGGTGAAGTATGCTAAAAGTTGTATGTACACTCCTACTTACTGAATATACCGTTGAATTGTGTCACTACTAACTACAGCTGTAACGCCCCAAAAATCACCCTGGACAGCATTACCATTTAAAACCATTCATATCATGAGAGCAACTAAATAAATACATGATTTACAAACATTCTTAATTTAACAAAATTCGGGCAGAGTCTCCTTTGTACGGGGAGCTCTACCCAAAAACTCAACCTGTGCATTTATACTACATTGACCACACCGGGTCCATTTAACCATCAAATAAAAATATTTCATTCATCATATTTACTATCCACAATGTCATCCCAAAAAGAATAAGTCAAGTTATGACAGTTACATCCCAAAAGAATTACACTCAACTTTAGCAGCAAAATAAACAAAATACTAGACTATTTATGATCGTAAATAAGATTTCTTAGTCTAGTACAAAAATAACTATAGCCCTAGATGTCCACCTCGGGATCTAGAATCCCCTCGGGTGGGGCCTCCCCATGCCCCGGCTCGTCAGCTCCGAGGTCCTCCTCTAGCACCAAATCTGAAAAATGTTTAACGGTAGGGGATGAGCACGAAGCTCTGTAGCAAAATCCTCCCAACTCAAACAAGGTTTAAAAATATATATATATAAAACAGGTTGGTCTCATTTCACAAATAACATATATAACTTTGAAAATAAAAATCAGGACATTTAAACAGATCTCAAGTTTAAGCACCACAATAATTTAAGACATAAATGAATCCAATATCCAACAACTAGTCCATTCCACCATAAATCGTTTCTCCCAAGTTCCTGCGGAATCTCATACTTCCCAAGATTCTTGTAGAAACCATTTATGGTACAATAAACAATAACCATTTTTCTGTATTCGTATCTCAGGTATGAAGTAAGATTTCACATGGTCACCGTCGAAAATATCATGACCCACGTACAAACCACACAATTCCCTTTTTCCACGATACCCCGTGAGTGATAATGGTTTAGCCTTCGCAAGGCACTAACCCCATTACGAGTGGTAGGAATAGTTCAACCCACACGAAGTAAGAAGTCGTCTACCCACTCCATGATACCCGGTCAATAGTAACTCATGTTTATCCCCACACCCACACAAGAGATACAATACCAACTATTTTCTCAAATACAAATAATTCCATAAACCCCCAATCACATGGGTATTTCTCAAATCACAAGAGAATCAAATAATCCCAATAGAACATTATAAAAGAAAAGCATGAGATCATCATAAATATTATTTCATTACTCAACACAAAGCACTAGAGTTTTCGGAATCAACAATAATGGAGAAATTAAAGGAAAACCCCCTTTTTTCTTGAAAACTAGGTTTTGAAGCAAGTAAATGAGTTTTAATGGTTACCCAACCACCAAAATGTTTAAAACATGACAATAAATGCAAGAATACCAAGAGTCAAGTATATAATAACAAGTAATTAAGATTTTTAAGCCAAAAGAATACATATAAACTAACCCTAACCTCAATGTAAGAGAATAGGAAGAATTCCCCTACCTTGAATCAAAGTTCCAAACCAAAACCCAAGCTCAAGAGACCTCCTTTCTCCCTTTCCTCCTTTCCTTTATCTTCTCCTAGGGTGCTAAGAGGTTTGGGGTGAGAGTGGAGTGAAAGAAATAGAGGCAAATGGGCTGAAATCTGTGTTTTAAACACAGCAGTCCCGACGGGTTACTGTTCACAGGCTGCAATTTGGGTTTTTTCCACAATTACGATTTTGCCACTAAAAATCTCTGATTTGATCCATATGACTACCCTAAGGTTTTTCGACGTTCCGAATTCATTTTTAATGTTATTTTAACCTAAAAATATTTATTTTTATGATTTATTTCAAAATTAAAATAAATTTACACTCGAAATATTAAAATTACTATTTTATTCCTCCGAACCACCATATGTGCTAACGGCTATCCCAAAATTCTTATGGTTTCAATATATATGGTTTATTCTTACGTCATTAAATATATACAAATCACTAAACAAGTAAATTACTATATTAATATAAACATGTGGGGGTTTACACCTTCAAAGTCTAAGAAGAAAGCACTACACTTTACTATCCAAGGAACACCATAGTGCAGATTTTTGGTCAACTTCAGAGAATAAACTGATTTGACTCAGGTATTTCTAGTATGTGTGACCTATATGGTTGGAAAGATATACGAGTTAGGGTTCTAACAAAAATAACGGTGTGTAATTTGGACTTTCCAACAAAGAGTTATGATCAAATTAGTGAAAGATAGTCTCCCAGACTGCTTGGTTCTTCTATACTTGTCTAACTCGAGTTTGGGTGTCTTTTGTCACAAATTCTATCTCGTACCCATCTCCAATATAGGTAGGATAACTTTCATAAAGATCCATGTCTAGCATCATTCATTAACCAAAACCAAATTACCCTCTGTCTCCTAGAATCATCCATGACAACATAATGTAGAACTAGTATATTTAGAAAAAAAATCTTTCTTCAATTCCTCTAAGCTAGCTCGTTGATGAGAATGCAAATGTCATATTTTTTTTTCTCTTTCATTATTTAGCCCTTTATACTTATTATTCTTATAGTTTGATTTAGGATGTAAATAAAAACGTTAAAAGTAGAACGAAGCTAATAGGATAATTATTGATAGTATAGACATGTGGGGATTTACAACAGCTTATAATTTTTGTACTTCATGTTAAAAGCTTGTTGTTGTTATGGTGTGCCTTCGTTGTATGTTATTAAGCTTTGGTTGGCTTTTGTGAGTTGTAATTTCAAAATAAATCCTGATCTTAATGAGTCTGGACATTTGAAGTCCAGATGGACTCGAATTGTCTGATTTCACAAGTGTCCTTTTGTGTTTTCGGGAAAACACGCGTTTAAGGATTTTGGTGTTTTAGTAATGGATGTAAAATTATTCGAGTGTGTAATTTTGGTATGGGTGTCTTTTTATAAATCATCGTGATATTATCCTATCCTCTAATGAACTCTCTACACGCGACTGTTGGTGTGGCAAAAACATGAATTGCTCCCTTATGTCAAGAGGTGGACTTTAAGCAAGTTAATTTCAAGTTGAAAAAGTTTTAACATGTTTGATCAAAACTAAGTTTGATTGAAAAAAAAATCCTCAAAGCTTATCTGGATAGGTTTAGTGGTCCAATAAAATTTTGGGTGGGACTGTTTCCACCCCTTAAATTTTTTTTTCCATCCTATTTAATTCTCACACTTCAAACTACTAATTTCACTTCATCTGTACTCACTCTATTAGATACTAAAGCCACTCTATCTATATTCACTAATTAAAAAATAAATTCATCCAATATTCTTTCAACCTATTATGTCGGCAATAATAAAAAAAAATTGGTGTATTATTTTAATACATAAATATTGCAGAAACAGAATAAAAATGAAAAACAAATAAATAATTTATTTTAAAAATATTAGTCAAAATATAACAAAATAACGTTAAACTCCTCAAATGTAAAACCCGGGTAATTTGAACTTTTTACTAAAGAGCAAACTAGTAATTTGCCACTACGGTACGAGTTAAAAACTTGAATTTTTCTAGATCTCAGATGACCAAACAGACCTTACCATTGGATTCGTCTTGCGAAATATAGTTACCCCGTCAATGTTTGTCGAATTCCGAGATAGTCGAATTTTTATATTTTACGAGGCGATCGAGTCTCGGGTGACCCAAAAACGAGATTGTTACTAAAATTTTGAAAATTGGAAAATCATTTTGGGCAAGTTAAAATAAAAATATTTTGAACTTAAACCAGGATGAAATTTAATCGTTTCGGGGCTAAAACGGACCCGGGAAAAAGATAGCCTTGTAGCGCGTTGTGGCCCAAGTAAATAGAGGGTATAAATAAGGGGAAAAATCTAATTTCTCCCCTTATTCATTAGTTGGTTCTAACGTGTGAGAGAAGAAAGGGAAAAACTTGGATTCTCCACTTCTCTCTACGATCTATGGA